TATATAACATGAGAGAGTCAAGAGGACCTTTTGGTGAGTAAAATATATCAGTCACAATAGAACATACTGTACAAGACTGTAACTGAAAATAGGCATATGACTTGAAAAATAAAATATACAGACCACAAACACTGTAAAAGATGGAACCAACCAACCTGGTTGAATGCATATGGGTATTGCAATTAGAAATTTGAAACAGAATACGTATAAGTATTCAAAAGGATAGGAGAAAGAGGAGGCATGAATAAGGGAGCAAAAGTACTAAGGCAGCAGAAGTTAGTGGATGGATACATTAGATGAAGGAATAGGCAATGTAGATGGGGAGCTGGTAAGATGTGGTGAGAAAAGGCATTAATCATCTGTAATTAGTATTATTAAACATAATAGATATGAATGACTGTATGAAAACAATTTAAAAAAAGTAAGTAGAAGATAGCTATTTTACAAACCCATGGAAACAGCATCCAAGAAATCAAAAGACCTACTGCAGTGGGGAACTCTGCTGCCTAGGACCTTTCCAAAATTGCTCAAGAGCAATGATGTCATTGTCTCTCTGTGTTTCATTGATTATGCAAAGGCATTTGATGGCATGGATCATAACAAACTGTGGCTGTCTCTGAGAAGAATGGGAATCCCAGAACATTTAATCGTGCTAATGCAAAACCTATATTTGGACCAAGAAGCAGTTGTCAGAACAGAGCAGGGCAACACTGCATGGTTCAAAAATGAAAGGGCACACGCCAGGGATGTGTCCTGTGTCCATACCTTTTCAACCTGTATGCAGAGCAGATTATCCGGGAGGCTGGGCTCTATGAGGAGAATTGTGGTGTCAGGATTGGTGGAAGATTTATCAACAATCTCCGTTATGCAGATGATATAACCCTTCTCGCTGAAACTGAGGAGGACCTCATGCACTTGCTGCGAAGGGTCAAGGACTGCAGCCTTCAGTATGGACTGAGGCTCAAAGTCAAGAAGACAACGATTCTCACCACTGGACCAATTGGCAGCATCAGGATGGATGGCAATGAGATTGAGATTGTTCACAGCTTCAGTTTGCTCATCTCCACAGTCAATACTCTTGGCACCAGCAGCCAGGAAATTAAAAGATGTTTTGTGATGGGAAAGTCTGCTGTTAGGGACCTCGCTAAAGTACTCAAGAGCAACAGTGTCTCTTTGGAGACTAAGGTGCGCCTGATACAGGCCATGGTCTTTCCAATCACTTGTTATGCATCAGAGAGTTGGACAATGACTAGGGAGGACAGAAGGAGAATTGACGCCTTTGGGCTGTGGCGCTGGAGAAGAGTATTGAATGTACCATGGACTGCCAAGAAAACAAACAGATTTGTCCTGGAAAGGGTTAAACCAAGCTACTCCTTGGAGGTAAGGATTCTGGGGCTTAGTCTGACATACTTTGGACATGTTGTAAGGAGAGACAGGTCCTTAGAGAGGGACATCATGCTTAGGAGGGTGGAGGGACGGTGCAAGAGGGGAAGACCTTCTGTGAGATGGATTAATTCAGTGACTGGGGTTATTGGGATGGGTGTGTCAGAGGCAGTGGGATTGGCACAGGATAGAGCAGGGTTTAGAGTTGTTGTACCTAGGGTCTCTATGAGTCGCAAACGACTTGACGGCACATAACAACAACAACAAACCGCACTAAAATATGGATTTTTTTAAACTGCTTCCTATGTAATGAAAGCTCAACAGTGAATCAGGGTGGCAGAAGATTTGAGGCCTTTGAGTTATCTCTGAATGTCACTTCTCTAACATGAGCTGCAAAAACAACAAACAAGTCTGTGTCAGAGGAAGTGCGCCCAAAGTGCTCCCTAGAGGCAACAATGGTGAAACTTAGTCTCAAATACTTTGGACATACTGTCAGGAGGGACTTATCCCTGGGAAAAAAAGACTCTATTTTGGGAAAGAGAGGATCAGATGACAATAAGTTGGATCGACCCAGTGACTGTAATAATGAGCTTATCAGAGATCATAACAATGGTGCAGAATCAGGCTTTTTTGGTGTGTGCTTTTGATGTTGTATATAAGAAATCACTGTCTGGTCTTATTATAAAATGTCTGCCTATGTTTTATTCTGAGAGTTTTATATTTTATGTCTTACACTTAAGTTTAACAGCAGTTATTTTGTAATGTGGTATAATGTAGAGTGGCGTCAAAGTTTATTGTTTATAACGGCTTTCCTAGCCATAGAGTTTAGTTTGCTGCATGGATAGACAGGAGTTTGCAAATAGAGAGTGTTCGTCTATCTACAGCAGGGTTGGCTACTTTCATCATTAAATTGAATTCAGCAACAGGTTTGGGAAAACTCAAAACCAACAAGGAAGAGGAAGTAGCACGTGTCCTCCAGGGCCAGCAATTCCTGTACTAGCCATATCAAGATATATACAAAAGCAACACAGCCTCAGTAGAGAACCAGAGACCAACAAGGGACAGAGCTGACATGGAACTGCTGCCACCATTGCCAGAGGCTCCAAGCTTGCTAGAGGACTGAGGAAAGATGCCATGGATGCTAGGACTAAGGGAACTCAGTAACATTGACCTAAGACATGAGGTTGAAGATCAAAGAGCCTGCAATTGTGCTTCAGAAGCATAACTGCAAGAAGAGCAACAGACAAGCGACAGGACAGAAGGATTGTATCCTGAAGTCAACTTGAATTATAACATTTGAGTTCTCTGAAAAACTCGTGAGTCTGAATGGGATTCTATAAAGCAGTTGTAGATCTTGCAATGGATTTTGGACCCAGTATATAAGATTGGTATAGAAATTAACATAAATAGGTGAGTGAGTCAGGACATATCTGATCTCATGGGAATTGATTTTGTGCTGTGCATGTTATTGATGGGGACAGTTCTCCCTTGTAGAGTTGGTAGAGGACAAATATGGCCATCCTCACAGCAACTTTATGCTAATTACAGGTAAGGATCCAGCTAATTCCATTACTTTCACACGTTGATAATGAGGTATCCCAAATTTACTGATTAAAAGTATTATTATTGCCTAGTTGTATTATCTTAATTCCTTTGTTAGAAACCAGTTTATGATAGCCAGGTTTATTTATTGAGCCTGAATTTATAATTTCTCTGGTTAAGTGAATTTATACCAGTATTGCAGACCTGATTACTGCTAAATTGTCCCTTTTAGAAAAATGTTCCATTTAATTAATGATTATTGTAAAAGCAGCCAATATACGAGCCTTGGTTCAGAGTGGTTAAGGAATCTGGCTACTAAGTAAATGGTCAGCAGTTTATACCTTTGGCTTCTCCTGGGGAAAGAGCTGAGAAGCCTTGGAAAACTATGAGATAGTTCTATTCTGCCTTGTGGGAATACTATGAGTCAGAATCAACTGGGCAGAAATATATTGTTAGGGTGTTTTGGGGGGGCGGGGGGGGCAGGCAGTTGGGAGATTCAAAATAAACTTTTCCAATTTTGAATATAATTTTAGGGAGCTCTGGTGACTCAGTGATAAGGAATTGCATTGTCAATGCAAAGGTACATGTTTCGAATCCACCAGCTGCTCCACAGGAGAAAGATGAACAATTTCCTCCCAGTGAATTATTGTTCCTGAAAACCCACTAGGGAGTAACTATGGGTCAGTTCCAACTTCATAGTACACAACAATAACAAACAGACCTAATTTCACTCATCTGCAAAACCGGAAACTTTAGAAAATATTGCTTTGGTCTAGTGTTTTTAAGACATTGCTCAACATATTTTTAAATCCTATGCAATGTAATTTACTTTGACCTGTGGTATTGGAGAAGAGTGTTGAATATATCATGGAGTGACAAATGAACAAACTGGTATTTTGAAAAATAACACACCAAAGTGAAGTGTTCCTTTGAGGTAAAGATTGTGAAGCTTTGCCTCTCATACTTTGGGTATGTTGCTGGGAAGGGTTATCCCTTGGAAAGGGAAATCATGCTTGGAAGGCTGGAGGGACAGTGAAAGAGAGGAAGACTCTAAGGATATAGATTGACACAGTGACTGCAGCAGTAGGCACAAATGTGTAAAAAATGAAGACAGCACATGTTAGGACAGGGTTCAGGCCTGTTGTTCCTAAGTTTGTTCACTATGAGTTGTAATCGGCTCGAAGGGGCTTCACAATTATAACAAGGCCAAGGGTTGGCACATGACCCACTTATTATGGCATTCTTTTCCACAACTAGTTTAGGCTGGAGAAATAAAAGAACCTGTCTTTCTCATTTGTCTACTTTCCCACTTTAAAGACAAAGACTAAATTTAGATTTTCACTCTTCCCCAGAATAAAGCTACTCATGACTGCATAGAAAAAATCAGAGAGAAAGTGAGCTACTCTAAAGCAAGTAGTCACTTGTGACAGAAGACTGACTGACCACTTGGCCAGTCCAAAATGGAAACAAACTGACTTTGTAGAAGCTGTGATGCTCTTACTTAATCCCGGGTCCACAAATTGTCAAAAGCTAACATTAACATACCTCTAGCATGTTTCTGAGAGCTAAATAGAATGTCACTAATATCTGCCACAATCTGGCTCATAAATATTTTTTTTAGCTTTTATAGAATCAACTAAAAAGAATCATAATTTTAAAAATTGATTTTTGGTGACTCCTTAAATGTGCCTGCCATATATCTCACTTTACACAGCTTCTTTTGACAGAACTATTTCAGTGCCAGGATACCCTTTGTAAAATGTCTTTTTATTGTGAACACCTGACAACTTTAAAGGAATCTGATTAATCCCAGATTATACCTGAAAAGGAAATGTTTCCACTTCTGTGGATTTTACCCAGTTAAAAAAAAGTTTAAAATAAATAAATAGTATTCTGGGTAAGATTTCTTGGTTCAGAAAGTCCCTTTCTCCCAGCTCTCATTAACATAAAAATATTACCGAAAGCACACACAGCTGGAAGCCTCTGATTAAGGCTCTGCTCCCTTGTTATTGATACATTATTTAATGTTTTAAACAAGGCAAAGCATATCAATTTAGAAATCATCTTTAACTTACGTTTCTGAAAGATTGAAAACTCGCTGAGGATCACCATTCTCAATGGCATATGTTATTGGGTCTCCTTCTCGATCAGTTGCCTTAAAGAAAAGAAGGAGGAAAAGATGAGTCAGTCATCAAGTATTTAATTCGGCTCTGTAGCTCCTATTCAGTACAAGTTACTGTGTCGTGGTTAGGTGTTATCGAGTTGGTTTGAAGTTATCACAGCTCTGAAGACAACAGAATGAAGCCCCTCCTGGCTCTGCACACTCCTCCCAATTGCTGTCATCCTTGAGCTCTCTGTTATAGTTGCCAGGTCAATCCAACTCATTGGGAGTTTTCCTCTTTTTTGTTGAACTTCTACTTTACCAAGCATGATGTCTTTCTCTATGGATTCATCTCTTCTGATATTGTGCCCTAAGTATGTGAGAAAAAGCCTTGCTATCTATACTTCAAAATGTAATACGAAGTTGAAATGAGTAGCACAGATCATCTATGATGCTTTGAAGAGTAAAGCGGAAAGCACAGTTTAATGATAAGATAGAAACAATTGCATATCTCATCTCAGTGTCTTTGTTATTTTATGTCATCTGAAAGTATTAATAATGAATAACAGCAGTTGTTGTTGTTATGTGTAAAATGGCCTGTGACCCATAGTGACCCTATGTTTAGCAGCTCTGAAGCCTACCCAGTACTAAGCCAGGCTTACTGATTTTAAAACATCTATTCTCATCACCCCAGTTATTGTATCAAACCATCTCATCTGGGCTCTTCCTCTCCTGCGCTGTTCCTCCACCCTTCTGAGCATCATATCCTTCTCCTGGGACCAGTCCCTCCTGGCCACGTACCCAAAGTATGTGAGATGGAGCTTCAAAATCCTAGTTTCCAAAGAGAAATTTGGTTTCACCATCTCCAAGACAGACCTATTTGTTTTCTTTGTGGTCCATGATATATTCAGACTCTTCTCCAGCATCACAACTCAAAGGCATTGATTCTGCTTATGTCATCCTTAGCCATTGTCCAGCTCTCTGAATCATAGCAAGTAATTGCAAAGGCCATGGCCTGGATCAGGAGCACTTTAGTCTCTGAACTGACATAATTGTTTCTCAGTACTCTGGAGAGGCACCTGACAGCAGATTTTACCAATGTAATTAATTTTTTTTTTTTATTTTGGAGCCAAGCAAGCTGTAATTGTTAACAACCTCAATCTCTTTTCCATCTATCATAATGATGCCAGTTGGCCTAGTGGTGAGAATTTTTGTCTTCTTGATATTGAGCTTCAATTTATATTGAAGACTACAGTCTTTGACCTTCTGCAGCAAGCACTTCAGGTCCTCCTCAGTTTCAGCAAGCAAGGTTGTGATATCTGCATAACAGGTTATTGATGAGTCTTTCTCCAATCCTGATGCCACATTCCTCATCATCAAGTTCAGCTTCTCAAATGATCTGTTCTGCATATAGATTGAAAAGGTATGGAGACAGGATGCACCCCTGATGCACTCCTTTCTTGATTTTGAACCACGAATAAAAATAATACCTCTTAAATGTACCTCTAATTTTGCCTAGTGGAGGAATATAAAATGATTAATTTTATGAGTTTATCTCTATATTAATACTGTTGGATAATCTAACGTAATCTGAGAGTGATGTGACTATGATATGACCCTAGAGAGAAGCCCTAGTCATAGAGGGCTGCAAGTATTTCTGTTTGTAGATTACCGGTTAGCCTGCCTTATTGATTGACAGCAACTATCTTGGAATGGATAGAATCTCACAAAGGGTTTTCCATTAACTAGAAAGGAGAATCTCAGCTGTAAAACTCAGATGTGAAATTGTAAGTGCATGCAAGCTGTGTGATGGTGCATATGACTGTTTCTACTTGTAAAGCTGACAGCTTTGTGTGAAATACATATCATAGAATTATATGAAGTATGTATGAGTCAAAAATCAACTTTGCTGTACTTAATAACAACCAACTTTTTATTGGGTTTTTCTCTTTTACACAGTCATGCTTCAATGTTATTTTAATATATGCTATCAGGTTTGTTTTGCTTGTTTATTTTTGTGTTGTTGGTAGTTTTGCTTTCTTGAGAAACAATTTATGAACTTCAGTTTTTACAAACTAGACATAAGGTAACTTTGTATAAACAATCGTACATTCAGTTTAGCACTATATCTTTCTTTCAATATATCAAATCTGTTCTAGCACTTAATATTCTTGGAGGTCAGAAATTATTTCTTATGATTGCAATTATATGTTGTAGGAATTTTGTTAATACATTCCTTTTTTATTATGTGAATGAATTACTACTGAGGAGTTGCTAAAGAATTCTCAAGTTTTTGCTAATTACTCCTAATCAGAGGAGTATCTTCATCCACCCCCCCTCCAGTTTTATTTGAACACTTAAATGTCTTAGGCTTCCAAGAATAATGAATACCAATAACAAGCTTATTTTATTTGTGTGTGAGGTTGTACCCATTGGTGAGTTGCATAGGTAACAATCAATTTATTTTAATAATTGGACAGCTTTTATATATTTAACATTATCATAATAATAAGCAGTGATGGAGATCATTTTCATTTATTTTATTTATTTTTCTTTTACTTAATAGGAAAAAACCTAATGCCTTTAAAATCTAAAATATTTCTTCCTTCTGGTCTACCCACGCAGTATACTGCACTCTGAATGTGAGTCATCCTTTTAACTAAGACACCAAATTGTATTTATGAAGGATATATGCTTAAACACTGGAAAATAGAAATTTTGAAAAAGAAAACAAATCTTCTCTAAACTAATATTCTGTTCATGTTAAAGACGAACACAGTCATCAAATACCATCTGGTAGAGTGCACTTTATGAGCACAGAATGATTTTTACACATTTCACAGTGCATTAAGACAAAGTACCTGCCCTTAGGGATTCTGAAATAGATAAAAATCAACGGATTTAGATTATCTTTTCTCTTCTCAGTTAGGCAAACAAGTTCTGATTTATGTTATTAAGCCTCTTGAGAGCAAGAACTGAAGCCTGCCATTCAATATAACAGTATTTCCAAAAATTTACATATGCCTCCCTGGTGGTAAATTGACAGCCCTTTAGAAAACTGTTAACATTTATAAATATATTTTAATATGTATTAATTCATGTATTCTATTTATATGAAGAAGTTTTGTTTTGCCATTTATGATTCTCATATAAAATTCACTTTGATGCAAGCTTACTATAAGAAAAATTACCTTTTTAGTTGTTTTTTTTTTTAAAAAGAGAGTATGATGTTTAATGTGCAATGTAGTTTGACTTGAAATGCAGGTAAAGCTATAATGACAGACAATATAAATATGTTCCTAATTACAAGTGTGTTATAAAATGATGCATAGAAAAACAGCATGACGGCAAAATACTTCTATCTTGGAATAGATTCATTGTTCATACAGAGAAATAAAATCAGGCAGAAGAGCAAAACATATCTTTTCCTATCACATTGAAAATGTTCAGCAACAGTTTTAAAAATTAGTATATTTTTAGGATCCAGTCCTGGTGGCACAGTGGTTAAAAATCTGGCTCTTAATCAAATAGATCAGCAGTTAGACTCACCACCTCCTTCCTGAAAAACAGATGTGGTAGCTAACAGACTTGGAGATAATGGCCTTAGAAACCCTTTAAGGGTAGGTGTACTCAATTCTGCGGGGTAAATCAGAATTGACTCAATGGTAGATTTACTTTTTAATGTTTTTATTTTCAAATGTTTATTTATTTTGTCCCATTTGAGGTCTGCTGTGCTCATGCAAAACCTGTATCTAGACCAGGAAGTTATTACCTAAGTAGAGCTAGGGAGATATTGTAGGAAGCTGTTGTTATTATGTGTAATCAAATCAACTATGACTCATGTTGTTGTTATGTTGTTATGTGCCGTCAAGTCGCCTGCGACTCATAGCGACCCTATGTACAACAGCCCTAAACTCCGCTCTGTCCTGTGCCAATCGCACTGTCTCTGACACTCCCATCCCAATTATCCCGGTCACTGAAGCAATTGACCTCAAAGAGGGCCTTCCTCTCCTGCGCCGTCCCTCCACCCTCCCAAGCATGATGTCCCTCTCCAAGGACTGGTCTCTCCTCACTACATGTCCGAAGTAAGTTAGACGGAGTCTCAGAATCCTTGCCTCCAAGGAGCCACCCAGTTTAACCCTCTCCAGGACAAATCTATTTGTTTTCCTAGCAGTCCATGGTATTCTCAGTACTCTTCTCCAGCACCACAGCTCAAAGGCATCAGTTCTCCTTCTATCCTCCTTGGTCATTGTCCAACTCTCTGATGCATAACAGGTGATTGCGAAGACCATGGCCTGTATCAGACGCACCTTAGTCTCCAGAGAGACACCACTGCTCTTCAGCACTTTGGAGAGGTCCCTAACAGCAGACTTTCCCATGGCAATGCGCCTTTTAATTTCCTGGCTGCTGGTGCCAAGACTGTTGACTATGGAGCCAAGCAAACTAAAGCTGTGTACAATCTCAATCTCTTCACCATCCATCCTGATGCTGCCGATTGGTCCAGTGGTGAGAATCTTTGTCTTCTTGACATTGAGCCTCAATCCATATGACTCATAGTGACCCAAAAAAAACGACTGACCATTGTTGCCTGTGCCGTCCTCACCACCTCCTACACACTTGATCCCCCTGTTATAGTCACTGTGTAAATCCACCTTGTTAAGGATCTTTCTCTTTCACTAATTTCCACTGACATTATTAATTGAAGCTGTCAATGATTTTGTCCTACCTGGATCTTCAAAGAATATCTTAAGTAAAAACAGTCAAGAAATCAAAATATGTGTTGTATTGGGGAAATATGCTATTAGGGACCTTTCCAAAGCGCTGAGGAGCAGTAATGTCTGAAGACTAACCGAAGTATCTCTGACTCAGACTATGGTCATTTCAGTTACTTGGTATGCATATGAAAGTTGGATAATGAGTAAGGATTTCAGAAGAAGAATTGATACCTTTGAGTTACAGTGTTGGAGAAGAGTACTAAATATATCATGGGCTGCCAAAAGAGTAAACAAATATGTCTTGGATACAATGCATCCAGAGGAGGCAAGAATGATACA